TCGTTTGATTCTTTGCCTGAGAAACAAGTGACCACAAACAATTGATCTTCTTCTTCTTGATCAACTACTTGTGTATCTACTTCTTTCATCTAATCTTTGGCTTTACAGATTACAGCTTCATGTCCAAGTTGATTGCATTTGGAGCAGAAGACGTCAGGTCTTCTCCAACACTTGTATGGTGGATGACCTTTCTCACAATGGCGGCAAGGTGGATAGGATATTTTGGAATCTCCTCCTTTTGTCTTCTGATAATTGGCAAATGAATCTCCATTCGTCGATTGGTTTTTGAAAATTTTCTTGTTTTTATACCTGCTGTTGTCTTGATGCTTTGCTGTTGTCTTGATGCTTAACAGTAAGGCACCTTCAATAACCTCTTCTTGCCTCATAGACCCCCTTTGCTCTTGTGTTTATAAAGCATTCAAGAGCTCTGTAAGAGAAATCTTTGACAAGTATTTGGTGTTCTCCACAGTAGTAAGGGTGGTTTCAAACTTCTCTGTAACTAGCAGCTTTTCAACGATCCTAGAATCATTTAATACAGACCAAACAATCTCACCTTGTTGGCAATGCTGAGAAGTCTATCAAAGTACTCTTTCAGCGATTCAGACTCCTTCATCTTGTGCAACTCAAAATCCCTAATCAAATTCAGGACTTTCATTCCACTAATCCTCTCATGTTCTTCATATTCAACCTTGAGATAATCCCAGATTTTCTTTGCTGTTTCGAGGGAACATTATTCGCATGAAGATCATTTGAGATACAACGGCAAATAGGCAAGCTTTCGCCTTTGATTTCCTCGTCGTCTTCTTTTCCTTCTGTAATTTGATTTATGCTACAGTAGGATTTGCTGGAAGCGGAGGGACCTCGTAATCCTCTTCTATTGCTTCCCAAAGATCCAAGGCCTCCAAATAAGTCTCCATATGAACTACCCACATTTGATAATTGTCTCCATCAAAGACGGGTGGTGCAATAGCTGAAAAACTTGATTCTCCTTCCATTTTGATCTCACAGGTCCGTTAAGAAGATAGCTCTGCTACCAATTGTTAGTGAAAGAGTGAATGATTGAACAGTTGATCAGAAGATTATATTATGAAGAGTAAGAAGGCTCTATATGTACAAACAATTCAAAAAGATACTTAGAAAATCTACCTAAAAACTGCAAAAAAAATCTGTTAACAAACCAATAAACAAATCAAATCAAAACTAAATTGAACTTTTAACGATTTAATCAGATACAGCAATCTAAACAAATACGTGATCTTTAACCTACACCATCATAATTCATATATCATAAATGGTAACGCATACAATTTCAACTCTTATCCTATAGTAACGCCACTTATTTGATTGACTTTGGCCAAAGTTTTATCTAGCTCCAAATTTGGTTGCTTTCATCCTTCGAATTCGTTCTCACTTATATCGAGCCTTCACCTATTTTGAATATAAACTTAATTGAGTCAATAAAAAAATCGAATTTCATATTTTCATTGTTTCTATATTGTGTTTGGTAGTAAATCTAAAATTAAAAAAATAAGTCCATATTATTTCACGTTGATTGGATTATATTTTCATATTTTTACTTGTCCCTATTGTCCTCTTTTTCTATTTTGTTTTCTTTCAATCAACTCTGATTAATCTTTCTTTCAATTTTTTTAAATTTTTTTTACATTACTCTGGTCCCTTTTCAATCCATTCTAATTTTCTTATCATGTTACCTTAATGGTTATTGTTATTTGATTTTTGACTAAAATGTAAATAAGGTAACCAAATCAAAACAAAAGAAAAAAAAAAAAGATTGAACTAATGGGTAGCCAAGAAAATCTAGATAAGGTAACAAAATCAGAATAAGAGAAAAAGGAAAGATTTAACCGAGTTACTATCACAAATTCTTCGGGTGTTAAATCTGCTCAAAACCATTTTTGTTTATTGTTTGTTTTTTTCGTTTGGACTAGAGGTAATTACATTTTTCACCTAAAGTATTATTGATTCTCTCAATCAAATCATAAATAAGTTTCTCTCAAGCAAATGAAAGGGTGAGGCCATTGTTCAAGTCTCAAAAATCAATACTTGGAAAAATGAAGTCTCCAAAATAGTAGGCATATACACTACCAGAATCATTCTCACTTATGCAAATTAAAGAATAAGCCCTTATAGGCATAAGTTCATAACTTACTCCGAATTAAGATCGAGTTGCATATGATCATCATGTGAAATATTAATATTCTCAATTAACGAATTTATAAGTGGAGGTTAAATATTTCTTGGTCAAATCATATTATAAACTCATTGTACAAGATACTTCCACTCACATGACTTCACATAAACGATTTGGATCAAATGATTTGTAACAATTACGAATTAGGTCATATCAATAATGTTGTAAAGATAAGACATCTAGTTTTATCCATATACCATAACCCTTGTAGATTATAACTTGATTGTTCAAAGTTACACTAATAATCTTGATTTTTTTATACATGAAGGGATGATATTTAGTTGTAAATAAAATAATCAAAATTATTATTAAAAATTAAATAGCTAATAAGAAGGGTTAAAGGCATAAATCTCTTTTTCCTTCTTTAGAATTGGAATCACATTGTGTTCTTTCTCCCTTAAACGAACAATTTTTCTCTCTGACTTTGTCACCCACATATCTCTTCTTTAGTGAGAATATTTTTCGATTAATCTTCTCAAGTTTTCGAGGGATCATATCATGTTCATAATCACCTCGTTTGATCGGAAGAGTGGAGCCAGTTTGAAGAGAAGAAACCGAGAGAACCTTCAATGAAGCTTCACCGGAGTTTGATCGGAAGAGAGGTAAATTTTTAGAAAATTGATCATTTCAAAGGTTAAATTTGTCGTGCATAGTGGACCATGGTGGAGGGGTTTGGAGGTTGAACATAAAGTGTGTGAGTGCACGAGCGTGAATGTGCAACTAGCCGAGCATGGGACACACCATGCTCGGTAGACTGATTTTGTACATTAGACCTTTGTTTATCTATTTTAGATCTAATTTCAATGTCATTCTTAATTCCTCTTGTCCTAGAACTCATTTATGGAATTTGAAAGAATTTGGATCAAATTAGAAACAAATTTAGCGTAAAAAGAAATTGCAAGTTTTAGTCGGTAGATTATCAATCTCGATGTGATTACAACTAATTCTAAGATACTACATTTCTCTTTAATAATGCTTTATTTCATGTGTGACGTGTATTCTCGTGTGAAGATAGATTGGAGTTTTGTCAATTTACCCATACTCATGAACCTAACTCATAAGAATCTACATAGTCGTTTACTATCTGATAGTGTTTCGAAGGGTTACTTCTTCATTACAATTGTGCAATGTGGGGACTATTATAGGTTTGTAGCTATTCTCTAATAGTGAACCTTCCCTACGTAATACATTGATAGTGATAATTAACCTTTCAGTTTATTAGACCCTCGAGAGCACCTAACTGATGTGTTATGTGGTGTATAGGGTCATGAAAGCACTTAGACCATTGTGTTATGTGCTTTGTTAGGCCCCAATATGCAAACTTACAAAGAGTTTGGAATTGTCTAGCACGACCTAAAAGCTAGTATGGAAAAAAGTCTTTGACTTGGTAATGAACCTTTCAAATCAACTCAAGTAATAGAATAAAACTTAAACTTGACTTATAAGTCTGTCCATTACATACTTACTAAGTATCCTTATATTCCTTTAGAGTTATTTTTCATTGTGGAGTTATTTGACAAAAACTGATGGCGTGATCAAATCGAGAGCCTAAGAATGTCCTCAATATTATCCATATAATTTTTTTTGTTGTTTTATGGTAAATATGTTACGCATGCATATTTTCAAATGAAACTTTATTACTCTAAAATTACGCGTCAACAACTATAATGTCTGACGTGAGAGTATCAAAAATTGAGTCACCAACAACTACTCTGCATGACTTGAGAGTATAAAAAACTGAGTCACTCTATACTTATCAAACCATTAAATATCAAATTAAACACAGCGATCGAAATAGTTATTATTCAAATTTAATTAAAATAATATTTTAAATTTTCAAATATAAAATGAAACTCAAGAACCAAAATAAAAGTAAAATCTAAAATTTATTCAAATGGAAGGAAATTAAAAAAAAAATGTAAAAAATTAGTAATATTTCTTTCTTTCTAGTGTTCCTCATCACTGAAAATGGCAGAGTTCGTGGGATTTATCTGTTGTTTCTTTATGTTTCTCCCCCTAAATTTGTGTGTGTCATATTCAAATCTGCAAGGATTTGACGTGAACATGTGGACTTCCAATCCCTTCTACTTCAAACTTCAAAGTGTCTTTTTTCAATTGTTTTCTTTACAAGTTTGACTAAACTCCCCCAAAACAAATCTATCCATTCAAACAAACAAACAAAAAAACAAAATCAACCTTTTTTTTGTTCGTTCTCTGAGATAAGAACAAAAACCAACACTCAAAAAATGTATAATTTCCAGTTTAAGAACCCCATTTGGTGTAGTAATTGCAAATACCTTAGGCCATGGCTGGCAGTGCCCACAGAGTGTGGCGCCACTCCAAAAACTCGAGCCCCAGAAAAGGAAGCCCTCAAATTACCATTTTGAAGGGACAATTGACATCCAATCTGAAATGGAGGGTCGGGTTGTTTGGTTTGGTTTGGTCGGGTCGGGTCCGGTCCTACCCATAGGCAGTGTGTTGAGAAAGTGATATTTCCCATCACTGCAATAGCAGGGGACCTTTTTGGGCTATAAATTCTCTCGACCCTTTTCCATTCCAACTCAGACTCTCTCTATTTTTTCTCTTTCAACTTCCTCTGCTTTTGATTTGACTGCTTTTTCTCTGTTTTCCGGTGGCTAATTACGGCGGCCATGGGCGGCGGACAGCCGTATCTGGAGCTCTTTGTGGCGGAGACTAGTTTCTACAACCGCATTGTTTTGGGAACCATTTTTCCTGCCTTTACTTTAGACCCATTTCCTCATATTGTTCAAACATGGCTTAGAAACTGCATTGGTGGATTATTAATTTACTTCTTCTCTGGCTTTCTTTGGTGCTTCTACATCTATTACTGGAAACGCAATGTCTATGTTCCTAAAGGTCTTTGCCTTTTTCTTTTTGCTCCTTTTTGTGTGTTTTTTTAACCCCTTTTGTGTCTATTTCTCAACTGCTCCATCAACCAGTTCTAATTTTGCTCATTTGGGTTCTATTAATTCACTTACTTCTTTGTTCACTCCCTTTTACAATCTGGATTTGTGTTTCTTTTTACTAATTTCACTCATTACTTCCAGATTCTTGGAGCTATAATCTTGAACTGCATGCTATATTTGATTCATTTTGGTTTAGATTGTAAATGATTACTAGTCCACATTGTTTTTGGATCATCTACATGTTCTTGTCAGATAGATTTCCCAAAAGGGTTGTTTTGATTTGTGCAAGCTGATGATTCTTCTTTCTGTGTTTGTTAGCTGAATTGTTATAAAAAGAACTGTAAAAAACAACATATATCCATAATAATTTAGAGCTAATGGATGATATATTATGTTTGGAGCTTCTTCTCGGTTAAACTAAGGATATTTTATTTGTTGTTCAAATGGAAAATATGATGTTTGTGATTTAGATATTGTTTTGGTTGTGACTAATTGCAAGAAACTAGTGGGGGATGTGTTGGTAGGTGGCTATGTTGAGCATTGAACTTGTTATTCATAGAGTATGTAAGAATCCAAGTAACTCATTTTTCGAGTTACGATATCGTTCGTGACGAACCGATGTTATATGTTATGAATGTGTATGGCTGAATGGTTGTTTTCTTGCAGATTCTATTCCATCTAATAAATTGATGCTCTTTCAAATGTTTGTAACGATCAAGGCCATGCCATTTTACTGCATCCTTCCGACGTTTGCTGAATACGTGGTTGAACATGATTGGACGAAATGCTATCCGAGGGTACTCGATGTCGGATGGCGTGCCTATGCCTTCCATATAGTTACTTATCTTGCCTTTGTAGAGTTTTGTATTTATTGGATGCATAGGGCGCTGCATGATATAAAGCCTCTTTATAAGTATCTCCATGCTAAACATCATATTTACAATAAGAAAATTACTCTCTCTCCCTTTGCTGGTAAGTTCTTAATCTACTTCTCTCAATTTTTGCATATTCATGTCAAATAGATTGCATGCCATAATATGTGTTTCTTGTTCGATTTCGTAAGATGTGTTCAACTTTGTATGAGATACCAGAATACGAGCGAACCAATCTCAACGAAACTATTACGAACCCTGGTGTTAAAACAGGGTGCTAGAACACTTTTATCTGATCCAAGCTAATTTGAGAAATACATTGGCATAGCATGAACACCTTAGGACTTACCTTGTCGCATGAACTCGACTTTTAGCGTGCTTTTGTGTATTATTTTGTCATCGATGTTTACGATGAAAACATGTAGTTCGTAAGCTGTTCTTCGTTTTGATAGAAACTTCAGGGATCTACTAAAGACTAAAGAAGTTCTATAGCTGTTTTTTATTAGAAGATGTTCTGATGAATGGTGTTTTTGAATGGGCAGGTTTGGCATTTCACCCTGTTGATGGGATATTGCAAGCAATACCTCATTTGTTTGCTCTATTTCTCATTCCAACTCATTTTAGAACACATATTGTGCTACTATTCTTCGAGGTGGTATGGACGACGAACATTCACGATTGTATCCACGCTCAAATATGGCCAGTTATGGGTGCTGGTTACCACACGATTCATCATACGAGATACCGCTACAATTATGGGCATTACTCCATATGGATGGATTGGATGTTCGGTACGCTTCTTGACCCGATTGATACAGAAGCCAGGGGGTCGTGATTGGTTGCTTCGACATCAACTGCTAACTCGCTATAGCTTTTGGTGATTCTTTGAGTTTAATGTAAATCAAGTTGGTTATTGATGAGGGCAGGTGTTGTGGTATGTTGCAGAATAAATTGGCATTCCAGAGGCAATTGGTGAAGCCATTCATACCATCAAATAAAGCATTCAATATCAGAGTTGGAATCCACAGGGATTATGTGCTGCTGCTGCTGCTATTGGTAGGCATTAGTTGCATCTTTGTGTATCATATTTAAATGAAAACTTTGGTTTGAAAAAATAGGAAATGACTATGTTTGGGGAATGGAATTCATGACTTCCCCTAATCGTGGAATGGAACCGCTCAAGCTAGATATTGTCCGCTTTGTTCCGTTAAGTATTGTTGTCAAACTCACGATTTTAAAGTTCGTCTACTAAGGAGAGACTTTCACACCCTTATAAGAAATACTTTGTTTCCTTCTTAAACGTGTCTATTAGGGAGAAAATTTATTTCCCTCTCGAATGCGTCTACTAGAGAGAGGTTTTCAGACCCTTACAAGAAATGTTTTATTTACTTCTCAAACACGTCTATTAGGGAGAAGTTTTTATACCTTTATAAAAAATGCTTGGTTTCCTTCTCAAATATGCCTAACGAAAGATAGATCATATGCATGATGCAAGGAAAGGGCTGAAACTCGACCCTCGCCCCGCCCTGCCCCAGTTCTACATTAGAGGTTAAATTGCTAAACTTTTAAATTAGAAGATTAAATCATAAATAAGTGAAAAGCAAAAGCAGTGTAATATTTTACTGCTTTTCAAGTGTTCAAAGACAAAAGAAAGGAAGTTTTCCCCTTTTTCCTCTCTTTCCAAAGCACATAACGAAACCATAAAGGGCATTTTATCCCTTGAGAAAACTCAATATATTAAACAAAATGAGATGAGGGCCTCAAAACTATGATTAGCTACAACTTTCTGCAACTCATAAAAGCTTAGACTAATTATCATTTGAACACTTTCTACCAGCTTTCCACTGCAAGAAGGAATATGAAGCATTATGAAAAGCAACTAATATTACAGAGACAATGACAACTTGCTTTCTTTTTTCATCTTTTCAAGGCAATACACATTGTCCAAAACAGTCAACACCTCCCATCTTTCAAAAATATAAAGTATTCACTCATTTTGACTACAACATAACGAGTGGTGCATGCAATTCTGACATCGAAAAAGCCACTGACCCTACCTCCCAAAACATCCAACCACCAAATGAAATGCTTAAAGTTAGGGAATTGAATGGGAGGGTGTAGAAGGAAATTCATCTAACCAATAATTCATCTGCAAAAACTTGTTGCTGTTTGTACAAAAGGGATATAAATGAAAAGTTCAAGAAGGAATCACAAACAATTATAGAAGGGGTCACAGTTAAGATTAGTGCAGGGCTTATTTCGTGATGAACTGATATAATCGATTACCATACTAAGCCTTTTCTTTTTGTAAACCTATCGACCCGATCAGTGCTCATACGAGATTTCTCAGGTTTGTTTGCTTTTTTCGACTTCTCAAGACGACTATCTAAACTATTTCGGGAAACTTCAGGAACATCTGCAACCATTTTGAACGTATCTGAAGACCCAGTTTCAGATGGTTTGTTCTGGTTGTCTGTTTCTACTTTAGCTTTCTCAGATCCATTTGTTGATGCTTTTGATTTCCCAAGTGACTGTACAAATTTCTTTAAATGTTTAATGAACTCAGGGTATAGCTCAAGATTGCAATGCCCACCTCCATTTATCCACAGTGGTTCATACTTTTGCTTGCTAAGCTCCCACAGCTGCTTTCCATGGGACCAATCAACAACTTCATCAGCTGTCCCCTGCAAATCAAACACATTCGGTCAGTAGTCTATTCTAGGGGTGTACATGGTCCGGGTTGGGTTGGGTTGAGGGATTTTTTTAACCCAACCCAAAAGTTCAGGTTGGGTTGTCGGGTTGTTAATTTTTTTTAAAAGTTTTATTTATCCATAATTCATAATTATTAGTTAGATAAAAGATATTAACAATTCACAAACAAACACAAATCAATCTATAATCATTAAGAAAAAAAAAACAAATTCATCAACAACAATAAAGGAAAATTGTAACATTTTAACATAGCTCAACATTGTCATAAAACTAAAGACAACTAAATACCGACACTTCTTGAGAATCTAGGTTGGGTTAGTTCGGGTGGTTGGGTTGTTGGATTGGATGTATACCTCTAGTCTATTTGTTCTGCCTATTATTTGAAACCATTAAGTCAGAGAGACCATGCAATCGATCTGAAGGGACGAACGGATTGGATAGTTAACAAATTATGTGTTAAGAGAAAAAACATCATTGCACAATCAAGAATATGGGCTGTATATGAAAGAGAGAGAGGGAGATATTCTTACATGTATGATTAAAACTGGACAGTTCACCAAACCAATTTTGTCGATGTTCTGAACAAGGAAACAGAACAGTAAGACGGTATCTTCTAAATTAAACAAGTGATAACAAAGTAGCAAAACGTACCTTGTAGATATCGAACCAATAAGTCCGTTTGGCAGGGTACAATACCCTCAGTCCAGATAAGATTGGACTATGTAAAACTACACCTCTCAAGTTTGATAATCGTGACGCAAGATCAAGAGTAGGGCCGCTACCAACAGATTGACCATATAATATTAGTTGTTCATCGTTTACCCCATAATTCTCCTTGAGGCATTTATATGCCGCATCAATGTCTGCATATGTGTTACATTCAGTTGGCTGTTCCAAAAAGAAAATAGAATAAAATGTTATGAGGGGGAAAACTCAGCCGTCATCAAAATGACATTGATATGTTAGGACCATACAACAACACACACTCGATGTAGATGAAAACAAAGAAGAATAGAGAGAAAATGCAACCCAAAGAAAAAATGCAAAGAGAAATATTAGCTTATATGACTTCAGTATGTACGGTAATAGAGAATACATAAACATTTTCAACATTTTCAACATTTTCAAAGCATTGACTATATATATATATATATAACTAACTACCATATAAAACTATCTACCATATATAGTTTTATTGATAGATATAATCGTTTAGTATATATAACTATCTACCATATATAGGATATAGTCATTTACTATGTATATAACTATCTCCCATATGTAGGATATAGTCATTTACTATGTATATAACTATCTACCATATGTAGGATATAGTCATTTACTATGTATATAACTATCTCCCATATGTAGGATATAGTCATTTACTATGTATATAACTATCTACCATATATAGGATACAGTCATTTACTATGTATATAACTATCTACCATATATAGGATACAGTCATTTACTATGTATATAACTATCTACCATATATATATAGTTTTATTGATAGATATAGCCATGGTTATATTTACTATATATTTATATATATATATATATATATAACTATCTACCTTATATAGTTTTATTGATAGATATAGCCATTTACTATATAACTATCTACCTTATATAGTTTTATTGATAGATATAGTCATTTACAATATATAGCTTTATTGATAGATATAGCCATGGACTATATATATATATAAGGCTATTTACCAATATAGCTATTTACTATATATAACTATGCTTAACCTATTTACTATATATAACCTATATATATAACTTAACCAAATATAGCTTTTTAGCATGGTTGAGACCATGTACTTTATACGTCATATATATACCTATATAGTTCTACTTTATATGTCATATATATACATATATAGTTCTACTATGTATACAACGGTGTAAGTTATTATTAATCTATAAATAGTAGCCTCCATAACTTAACATGATAATCCAGCTATAAATAAGCATAGCCACTAAGTAAACAATAGATAAGTTATGACAATCCCATAAAATAATCAAAGCTAAAGCAAAGTCATATTACATAGGTATAATGCTTTAAAATTTAAGTTTGTTCATTTTTTTCTTTTTTCTTTTTTAAATCTGAAATATGCAGATCCTGTATTGGACCTCTTAACTATTCCAATCAACCAACAGCTGAACATTGCTGGTTCAGGAAGTAATTTGATGTTTTAAGTTAGAATTTATATTATTTCCAGACAACCCTCCTTCCAACTCTGCACAGTAAACATGGCTGAATATCATAGTATAACTGACAAGAAGCATCATTAAGATGCAATGCTACAAATATTGCATTTTATGATCAAAATGTTTTCACATCAGAGCAATGTATAATTTGGGAAACAGGTAGGTAAGAAACTAATTGTCTGGGTTTGCACCGGTAAGAACAAGAGCATATATAAACTCACAAAGCTAAATAAATTTCAAAGCAAAATAAATTTCAAACATTGACGATATAGCGAACATTCTTATTCGACTAACAATATAAAAATATCTACAACTAAAGTTGATATGCTTATAAGTTCATAAGCAAAATTTTATTTAGACAAACTAAAATTCTGTTGCAATATCATTCATTAATTATGAGGCCGTTTAAGAACCTCCTAGGCTATTCATCCCATTAGATGAACAGTGGTCTGAAATTAGTTTACTTCTATTATATTTAGCAACTAGGGAACTTTTATGTAACTTCTTCTTGGGACTTCGATGACGCCTCATTTCCTTCTGTCTCATTTTCCTTAATTTTTTTTTTTTTTTTTTATGAGAAACAAACTTCATAGATGTATGAAATTTAAAAAAGGACATAGCTCAAACCAAAGAAGTTACAAAAGAGATCTCCAATTAGTCAAAAGAGTAGAGAGACTATAAAAGCTATAAAAGGATACGCATTTACACAAGACAACATAGGGAAGATAATTTTGTTCAAAATAACTATCTTCAGAACTTTCCTTTTCATTAAAGAGACAATTGTTATGTTCCTTCCAAGTCGCCCACCAAAAAAATAATAATAATAATAATAATAAAGTACATCCAAAGAACTTTCTTACCATAAGTAAATGAATGTTCGTTAAGAATCTAGATAAGGAGGCTATTGAGATCTCTTCCCAACGATTGTTACATTCCTTCCTTTGTGGAGTTTGCTTTCTATTACAAAGGGAGGGTTGTTGACAGGAGAGGGAGGGGAAGGGGAGGCACATGCGATGGAAATCTGAAGAGAGGGGAAGCCGGCAACCATGGAGTGAGAAAAAGGGAAAAGGAGGAGAGAGAACTTTGGTTGCTAGTGTCAGGTTAGGGAGATTGCTATATAGCTTACCCTATGGGTAAATGACATATAAAGTAAATGGTATATAAAGTAAACAATTATGTAGGGTAAAAAGCTATATTTGGTAAAGCTATATATGGTAAATTTAACC